CCCTGAGACCGACTCATCGAACCCCTGGGGTTCATCGAACCCAGGTTAAGAACCACTGGTCTAACACCTTCCTGTTGGACCTGGCCGGACCGCAGAGACGGGTCAACGGTTCTGTCAGCCCAGCCAATGGAACCAGTGATACTACAGGCCACGCCTCCTCCTGAGAAAAGGAGGGAATCACAGTAATCCCAGATCATAACTTCTTGAGTTCAAGAACCGGGTTGGTTCTGTAGAATTTAGTTCATACACTTCAGAAATATCTGAAGTCCAAATAGGAAATGCCTTTCACTGTCCTTTCAAAATAAAGATAAATTAAGTTAAACAGACAGGAACCCATTTAAAATGAAGATGAAGCGGGTTCTGGAGGGGTTCTGGATCCTTAAATGGTCTTTATTTTTGAAAACATTTATAAAACAGAGCTGAATAAACAGAACCAGCATGAGTCCGACTCACTGTTAGCTGAACAGAACCTGAACAGAACCCAGCTTCATGTTGAAAGACACACAGATGGACAGTTTGAACCAGAACCAGAACCAGACGTACCATCGCCGTCAGCAGGCTGAGCAGCAGAAAACAGAAACACACGTTAGATACAAACACTGCAGAAGAAGTTAGAGATAAACAGGAAGTTCTCCTCAGTTTACACACACACACACACACCTACACACACACACACACACACACACACACACCTACACACACACACACACACACACAGCACCTCGGGCCAGATTCCCGGACTGTGACTCATCCTGACCACAGAGGGGTGCCGCCTGGCCCAGGAATGTCAGGGGGAGCGGCCCCTCCCACCCAGCCGGGGTTTTTCCACAGAGGGAACTTTGACTCCGCCCACTAACAGCTGATTGGCCGTTTGCCTCCATCAGAGGGACAAACTGCAGATGTTGGTGGAGGCAGCTAGACGTCAGACACCCAAGGACAGACAGAGACATGGAGGACACTGAGACACCTGTCCACCTGCATTTAGGGCGGGGAGGGCACCGAGGTC